CCTCTTCTACCCACAGGTGTTCGCTGTGTCCCAGCAGGTGCTCTGTGGGCTGGAAAGGGGTTGTGAGCCGTCAGCATGGGGGAACATGGTTACACTTTGTCCTCAAAGGCCCAATCTGACCTGACCAGGACTTAATACACCTTACAACTACGTAGCTCTGCCTGGGGTACCCTGGATTTTTTTCCCCCATAATGGCAAAATGCACATATCACATCTGTCATTTTTTTTTTTAGATTTTTTAAAAAATTTATTTGACAGAGATCACAAGTAGGCAGAGAGGCAGGCAGAGAGAGAGCAGAGGAAACAGGCTCCCTGCTGATCAGAGAGCCCGATGCGGGGCTCAATCCCAGGACCCTGGGATCATGACCTGAGGCTTGAAACCGCTGAGCTACTCAGGCGCCCCCATCTCTGTCATTTTTAAGCACACAGTTCAGCAGTGTTAAATACATCCCCTGTGGTGCAGCCAGTCTCCAGAATTCTTTTCATCTTGCAGAACGGGAACCGTGTGTCCATTGAAGAGCATCTCTCTAGTCCCTTCTGTCCCCAGCCCCTGGCAGCTACCATGCTACTTTCTGTGTCTATAAACTTGACTACTCTAGCTACCCCATATAAGTGGAATCACATAGCATTTGTCCTTTTGTGACTGGCTTATTTCACTTAGCATAATATCCTTAAGGTTCGTTCATGTTACAGCATGTGTTCAAATTTCCTTGCTTTTTAAGGCTGAATACTATTCTGTTGTATGTGATATTCACCAGTGAGTCCCTCTGGGCCTGGTGCTTTCTCTTTTGGAAGATCTTTTTTTTTATTGATTCGATTTCTTTAATAGATGTAGGCCTATTCAGATTGTGTGGTTTTTGTGTGAGTTTTGGCAGATTTTGTCTCTCAAGGAATTAGTCTATTTCATCTAGATTCTATGTGGACATGGCGTTGTTCATAGTATTCCTTTATTATCCTTTTAATGTCCATGGGCTCTGTACTGATGTCTCATTTTTCATTTCTGATATTAATAATTTGTATTTTCTTCCTTTTTCTTAGTAACCTGGCCAGAGGCTTCTCAATTTTGAGGCTTTTTTAAAAAAAGATTTTATTTATTTATTTGATAGAGACATCACAAGTAAGCAGAGAGGCAGGCTCCTGGCTGAGCAGAGAGCCTGATGCAGGGCTCGATCCCAGGATCCTGAGATCATGAACCAAGCTGAAGGCAGAGGCTTAACCCACTGAGCCACCAGGGCATCCTGTGCCTTTTTTTTTTTTTTTTTCCCAAAGAACCAGCTTTAGGTTTCACTGAATTTTCTTTTCCTGTTGATTTTCTGTTTTCAATGTCATTGATATCTGCTTTTATGTTTTGAAGATTTTATTTATTTTTGAGAGAGAGAGAGAGAGGAAGAGCAGAGGTGGAGGGAGAGAATCCCAAGCAGACTCCCCACTGAGCACAGAGCCCGATGGGAGGCTCAGTCTGACGACCCCAAGATCATGACCTGAGCTGAAACCAAGAGTTCAACTGAGCCGCAGGCGCCCCTGCTTTAATTTTTATTATTTCCTTTTTTTTTTCCTATTTATTTTGGGCTTCATTTACTCTTCTATTTTTCATTTCCCAAGAGGGAAGCTTAGATGATTGATTTAGATGAACATTCATCTTGGGGAATGTTCCATTTGAGCTTGAGAAGAATGTGTGTTCTGTTGTTGGATGGACTATTTCAGTATAACAGATGTCAGTTATATTGAGTTAATTAATGGTGCCGTCGAGTTCAGCTGTGGTCATACTGATTTTCTGCCTGTTCTATCCGTCCATTACCGATAAAGAAGGGATAAAAGTCTCTGTGACAGTGGATTCATCTGTTCCTCCTTGCAGTTCTGTCACTTTTTGCCTCACATACACTGTTGCTCTGTCAGGTACATACCAGTGTGTGTGTATCTGTATATATACACACATTTTATTTATCCCTTCTTCTGTTGATGGGCACTTGGGTTACTTCCACCTTTTGTCTATTATGAATAATGTTGCTGTGAACATGGGTGTATGAATATCTCTTTGAGATCCTGTATTCAATTTTTTTTTTGCTTTACTCTTTATTAAGTCATAATTGATGCATAACATTATATTAGTTTCAGGTATACAACAATTCAGTGATCATTATAAAATGATAACATCCACCACCACATATAGTTAAAAAAATTTTTTTCTTGTGATGAGAACTTTTAAGATCTACTGTCTTAGCAACTTTTAAAATAAACAATACAATATTAACTATAGTCACCATCCTGTATATATCCATAGGACTGATTTATTTTGTAATTGGGAGTTTGTACATTTTGACCACTTTTACCCATTTTGCCCAGCCCTGGCCCCTACCTCTGGCAACCATTACTCTAGTCTCTGTGTCTGAGTTAAGTTTTTTGGTTTTTTTTTTTTTAGGTGCTATATACAAGTGAGGTCATATGATATTTGTCCTTCTCTGTCTGACTTACTTCACTTAGCATAATGCCTTCAAGGTCCATCCATGTGGTCACAAATGGCAGGATTTCCTCCTTTTTAATGGTTGAATAATATTCCGTTGTGTGTTCCATTCCATTCTACATCTTCCTCATCCATTCATCCGTCACTGGCCACTTAGGTTGTTTCCATATTTTGGCTATTGTGAATAATGCTGCAGTGAACATGGGGTACAGATACTTTTTTGGGTTAGTATTTTTTTTTAAGATGTTGTTTATTTATTTGACAGACAGAGATCACAAGTAGGCAGAGAGAGAGAGGAGGAAGCAGGCTCCCTGCGAAGCCCGATGTGGGGCTTGATCCCTGGACCCTGGGATCATGACCTGAGCCGAAGGCAGAGGCTTTAACCCACTGAGCCACCCAGGCGCCCCTGGGTTAGTATTTTTGTTTCCTTTGGATGAATAC